GCTACAGGGAAGAGGAAGATGCTCAGAGCTGGCTGGGTGGGAAGGGGAGAGCAGAGGGCTGCAAGGAAGCCCTGCGCCCCCGGGGAAGGAGGTGGTCCACAGAAACACTAGTACTTCACCGCGGGAGAGGTACAGGTGAAAGCAGCATTTACTGGTTGTCCTGGAGTACAGATAGTGTCAGGAAGCCTGATTTAGGAGCAGAGGGGAAAGGTCACGTCAAAACCACTGCAGATAGGAGATGAGCAGTGTTACAGGGGAACTAGAAGTAAGGAAAGGAAAATTCAAGGGAATACACTGTGGTGTGCTCCGCTCACACATCCAGCAGAAATGTGCTGTGCTCTGAATTGTTCAGTTCTGTGTTCTCCTTCTATCATTCATTTGCATTCATTTCATTCACGTATATCTTTTAAACAACAGGCAAAAATTAATGTCACACCCCTCAATGACCCCGCTGATCAGCTCTCATCAAATTGTCTTAAAACTCTGCAAAACAGGAGTCCCAAGAGAAAAAAGGTAGAACAAGAAAGTAGAAACGTTTACAAGTTGCTCCTGGCCCCAGCCCCACCTACCCAAACAGAGAACTGCTGTTCACTGTGCAGCCCTGGCCTCGCATGAGGGGCATATCCAAAATCGCTCTCGCTCCATCAGTAGAAGAAATAATATTGGGAATACCTTCACAAGCTATCAGGCATCAGTGTGAGGGAGCACAGGAGGGAATTACAGGGCTGGAATCATGTATGTCTCACTTCTCACAGTGAAGAATTTCCATTCTTCCCTTGTGAATGAGCTACAGCAGCCTTCAGTGTATGTCTTTAATTTTGAAAGATGTTAAAGTAATGAAACAATCACATCACAGCAAGATTTCTTTTGGTGAAAACCATGCTCCAACTTATACTTCTTAAAAAGAATCAGTAAAATAATTGGCAAAACAAGCTTATCTGATGTGCAGAATCAAATTGTATTCCCTCAACAGATCAATTTTTCCATCTATTTGTGAGAGTCCTGTATTTCATTTACAACAAAGCCTGAAAAATATGAGATACTGAACTTGAGAACTTCATTATAAGTATAAAGCCAAATAACTATTTAGTAGTCCAAAATGGACTTACTAATAGAAACCAAAATTAAAGGATAAACCCAAGACTTAAGCAACCAGCCAATGAGGATTCCAGGAATTATCCAGTGTTCAGTTTATTCAAAAGAAAATAATTATATAGCACTGCACTTTTAATAGTCAAAAGAGATGCCAACTCCAGAGACCAAACTTCTGTGTCTTGTCAACACGGTAATTATAGCACAGGCAATAGAAGTGTTCTTGAAATTACTTACAGAAAATACTGGCACAAGTGCTTTATTGCTACCATGGAGAGGCCACCACAATATCAGCCCAGGACCTCCCCACTGACATAGCCAAAAGCCAAAATTCATCACTGCTGGTCATGTCCTTTCTATCTCCAGGTTTTTTAAGAGAAACAGAGAAAGTTTTCTCTATGGCGGTCCATGGAAGTGCTCACCGCTTTCTTCTCTGCCCTTAAGAGCTCTGCTGGCTGCTACAAGAAGTCAGGGTCCTCAGGCCAAACTTCTACTGCTGGAGCTGCAGGAGCTGGGTCAGATTGTGCAGGGAAGTGCTAAGGGATGGTGAATCTGTCCCAGCACTGCACAGGCAGAGGGACACAGGATTCACGCTTGCTCCTTATTTCCTCTGCATCTGCAATCGGTAGCGAGGACTCAATGTTCCTTATGGGTCCCTTCCAACTCAAGATATTCTATATTCTATGACATTATGCTAAGCTATGTGAAAAATAAAAAAACAGAAGAATATTTGAAATAAAACTTCTAGCCCCTGTCTTTTTCCAAACTACCTGTTGTGATTAGTTTGTGGTTTTACCAAACATAACCAGGAAAACACATTCACCAAACTGCTTTCCCACCCCTCAGTTATACCAAACCACTTTTAGTATATGGAAGCTCATGGAAGAGAAATCCATACAGGGTTACTAAATAAATACACAGACACTGCATCCAGCTCAAGTAAAGGGTTGTGGATTGAGAGAGTATTAGTGGAGAAATAGCATATGTGCTACTGTATTTTTCAAGGCATCCCCCATGGTTATTTCATTTTTCCACCTTAAATGGGACA